TTTACTTTAAAATTACGGTTAAAAATTATGAATTCATAAGGTAAAATTTTTAATAACTGGCTTAGTGTTTTACCTTTATGCCGCTGTTTTACAATAAAAATTACTACTGTTATTTTCTCCGTGTACAAGCACAATTTTCGCTCTGATAAAAATATAGGGTGTTCTTGTAATTACATAAAATTCTTTCAACTATTGTACATTCAAATTTGAAATAAACATATCTGAATGATGTTTTTTTTTTTTTGTTTCAGGTGGCTCAGGTAAGAAAACGCATCCCAAAGATAATGGTAAAGTACAAAAAACAATAACCGTTTTTTTAAAAACACCTACACACATCATGAAAATCCCGATACTAACCGGGGAAAAACACCAATGCCAAAACGAAAAAAAAGGGGACCGAGACAAAAGAAAGTCAACAAAAGGACATTATCAACGCGAACCAACGTGCCTTACACGAGCCATCAATGGCAGGGCCTTTTCGATAAGGGCAGAGTCGCGTGGTGGTGGTGGTGGTATGTGGCGCATCCCCAGGAAAAAAGCACGTGCCGATGCGACGCACGTCAAAAGTCGGCGACGTCGCCCAAAGAGAAAAAAAAAAAACAGCGAGAGAGAGAGAGAGAATACAGTCATGAGAAAAAAAAAAAAAAAAAAAAAAAAAAAAATTTCTGTATTAAAATAATGCATTACAAAAGAAGAAGTTTCAGTATCAGTTAACAAGCACGAAACGACCCTCTTGCTCCTCTCTTTTTTTCCCCCCCTCCATAAAACCAGAACATTAGTTACGACGAATGAAGTACTGCGACCATAAAACACAGAACCGAATCAAACAAAAAAAAAAAACAAACAAAAAAAAAAATCGGGAACGCACAGCCGGGCTTACACCTACACCCAGCGCCCCCATAAAATTACAATGTGCTTTTATCGGAAACCAAAAAGCTTATACACGACGACGAGCCGGTCCTCCCGCGCGCGGTGATAAATGTAAAAAAATTAGCCACCAGATCGAAAGCACGAAACCTCCCCCCGAGAATGACAAACGAGTCGCAGCAGGATGTATATTCAGCTGGTAGCTATTGTCCCCCATTAAGATCATCAATTCCGTGTAAAAATCCATGATCGATGTCGGGCGCGAAAAAAAAAGGAGGAGGGTCGTCAGGTATTCGTCATTTCCTCCTCCGTTTTTTTTTTTTTTTTTTTTTTTTTTTTTTTTTTAATTTTTTTTTCGGTTTTTGTTGGGGGGTAAAAAAGGGGGGGTTTTTTTTTTTTTTTTTTTTTTTTTTTTTTTTTTTCATCCTTTGTTACAGTCCCGTTAGGGAAACCTTTTCAGGGTTTTCACAAGNAGATTATTTTTTAATTTAGAACTATTCAAGAAATATTTTCTGAATTGTAAGAAATTTTTAATTCAGTATGGTAACGACAAATACAGAGAGCTTTAATAATCAGACTTGCTATAATCACCCTTTAATTGATTGTCAGGGTGTCTAGAATTTGCATAAAATTTCTAAGGATTTGAAAGACTAAAAAATAGTGGTTTTAGGTTTATGTTTATAATTGTTTTAGAGTGAGTAAATTTTTTTTCTTAGATATTCTTCGATAAAACTTGACTAATTTCAAATCATCTGATTTTAGCATAATAACAAAATTTATTGCTAAATTAAAGCCTATTGTAAGCTATTTAAAATGGTCAGTAATGTATACAGGTATGAAGGAACCACATTAATTATTAGCGTGAAACTACTGTAATTATGTGAAACTGTAACTGTATGATTTTTACTTTAAAATTACGGTTAAAAATTATGAATTCATAAGGTAATGGCAGATGTTTTTATTGAATATACCTAGCATCATATTTATAGATCAATATAATTACAGTGTTAAAAATAAAATTCACTTACATTAATACATTTATGTAAAATTTGCTACAAAAGCTCTACCTAAAGTGTTTCTACGATCACAAATAACTTGAGGAAACTTGTCTTATCTTTTTAAAAAATCAGAAAAAACTTTACAAACACGTGAGCAATAATGACTCAACTTTGGTATAAAAGGCTTGCAGAAGAAACTCGATGCTTGGATTAGCTCAGCTCTAAATTAATATGAGAAAAACTTGTTCGTTGCGTTAACTCTTTTGTTTCTCGATTGATATTAACATTTTTTTTTAATGCTACTTTTTTGGGGAGCTGATTGCTTGAATGTTATTGTCTTTGACCATAATTAGTATATTACAATCNAAAAAAAAAAAAAAAAAAAAAATTTACAAAATGGTATAAATATTTTGATCAGGTGCCTTGACGCAGCATCACATTGATGCTGAATAAAAAATAAAAAAATGACAGTGAAGTTTACATCTCCACGTGCACATGCAATTTTGAACAACAACTATTTATTCTATTTAAATAGTTTCTGGGAAAAAAAAGTTTCTTATTTTCCACAAAAAGTAGTAGGTTTACCGCATTAAAACTACAAGCACCAACTAAACTAAAAGTAATATTTTAAGTCAATTTAAAAGTATAGTTATATATTAAATTAAAACTATGTATATATTAATATTTATGCATATAAATTTTAATTAAGTATCCGATAATCTGGTGTCATCTTGACACCGTATTCAGAGAATTACAGTTTATGGTGACAATTATCGAGTTTACCAACTCTAATTATACCCTTAATTTGTACACGTCGTATTTGGAGTACCAAGCTTTAACAAGACAACGTAAACGCGGATAAGTAGACATCAGGATGAAGCAACTTTTTGGCTCTACCTTTGCACTAAAAGCCGTGGCGATGAATGAAAAAAAAAAAAAAAAAAAAAAGCTCAAATCAAGGATATTTAGAAAATCATTTAACTTCCAATACCAATCCTCCCCCGGCTGCTCGCGCTTCGAGAAGAATCTCACACGTATACGTGAGGCACCCACAAGTAAAAAAGAAAGAAGAGCCGATGGACGGGGAGTGGGATAAAGATTTGAAAGCTGTAGGTGGTACTGTTGTTGTTGTTGTTGTTGTTGTTGTTGTTGTTGTTGTACAGGGTATCCCCATCTCTGGGACGCGCGAGAAAAGAAAGTATAATCCTTGGCAGTGGTGGAGGCGGAGGGAGGGAGAAAAAAGACGAGAGACTTCCCGCTCTGATTTGAGAAGATCCGGCAGACACCGGCCGAGCTTTTTCTAAGCCGAAAATAATTGTGGTGCTGTATATACACACACCCAGCCCCGAGCTGGGAAAAAGTGTAGCCGGGGCAGGGGGAGGGGGTGGGACGTGAGCTGAGTGCCTGCCAGGGAGTTTCCCTTCACCCTGGGACGACGAGCTCTTCCTTTCTTTCTTGCGCTCGGACTTTGGTCAAGAGATAGAGAAACGAAGGCGGCTTGCTGGGGGGGGGGTGTATAGTGACGATGAGGGAATAGGAAATATATACACGGGGGCACGTGCGCGGCTGGCTCGAAGAGCTTTCTTTCGCTAGCATCTATTATGTGGCTGGCGACATTCTTGCTCGTAGAAGCTTCGTCACCGATTTGGTTGCGTGTATGAGTAACGGGGGGGTGGGTTTATTTTCTGGAGGGGGAGAATGTGTCCATATAAATTCTCGATTGTGCATCACTTGGGCGCGAGTGTGTCGTCGTCGAAAAAGTAATGAACAGCGCCTCCGGGGCGTAATTGGTGGAGGAGGAGGATGGACAATCTGGACAGTACGTGTTTATTTACATGAACATAAATTGACTACTGGACACTGGGGACTGAAGTTTTTAAATTTTAAGACTTGGACACGGATAATTTTTCAATTTTTTTTATAACATAACTTTGTCGCTAAAAGTATAATGCTTTGCTTATACTGAACAAATATTTTTTTCTTTCTTTCAATTACCACTTATGACATAGAGCTTAACAAAATAATTTTTTCCAGTTTAAACGATTACAATTTGAAGAAAAAAAATAATTGAGACATAAAGAAGAGTCAGAGTATTCAAAAAATTATTTATAAATACGTGATTTGAAATACTTTCAAATAAGTCATAATTTCTAAAAAAAATTGCATTTTTACATTTAAAAAGAAAGTTTTTTTGTACAGTACTTATATTTAAATTAGTAAGTACTCAATACTGTTAAAACAACTCACTGGCACTCATTGGCTTGGAACTTTGATAACATTCATATACATATTTGGTAAGTCCATTGAAAAACTAAAAAATAAAAAATAAACACAATATCACTTTGTGGGACCTGTCAACTCGGATGTGCTCAAATCAAAATAATAAAGCACGTGAGCGTACACGTGACAATTTTTAACGAGATCAAAGCTTGCTGTGGCCTGTATGTCTTACAAGATTATGGAATGCCTTTGGTTAATCACAATATACCTCAGTACAGAACTGCGTGTAGATCGTGAGATTCTTTTATCGAAATTATAGCGTAAGATTATCTTTTTTTGTGGTGTACCTCCGCTGAAAGTACGTGTTTTCTCTACTTGTTCAACTTAACCTCACAATTGTAAACTTTTAAGCTCGTGTATGTCAAAAATAAAAAATAAAAAAACGTAGATGCACCTAGGCCAGAAAGTGGCTCGTAGTTGGATCAGCCAGCAATCATTTAGACGAGCGATGACTTTCTGGCCTAGGGTACGTAATATAACATTTTGGCTAACTGTTGATGGACGTGCCGAGGATTAGAAGGACTTTTTGACCATATGAGTTCGGATGTGACCTTCAAGACTGTATCTGTATCGAAAATTTCGCGAGCACACCGTACACCGGAAGGGCGTTTCTCCCGTGTGGATGCGCAAGTGGGTCGTAAGATGGTACTTCTGGCGAAAGTTTTCCGGGCAAAATGGGCACTGGAATGGCTTTTCCCCCGTATGGGTCCTCATGTGCAGGGTGAGATGGTGTTTTTGGCCGAACCATTGCAAACACTCCGAGCACTGGTAGGGCTTCTCCCCCGTGTGGGTTCGCATGTGCAGCGTGACATGGTACTTCTGGCGGAATGACTCCAGACACACTGGACACTGGAAGGGCTTCTCCCCAGTGTGGACGCGCATGTGGTTCATGAGAGTACCCTTGAGTTTGAATATTTTCGAGCACACCGTGCACTGGAAGGGCTTGTAGCCCGTGTGGGTGCGCATGTGGTAAGTGAGACCGGAATTTTGGCCAAACGTTTTCGGGCACATCGAGCACTGGAAGGGCCTCTCCCCCGTGTGGGTACGCAAGTGGTAGGTGAGGGTAGCTTTTTGGATGAAGGCCTTCGGACACATGGAGCACTGGTAGGGCTTCTCCCCCGTGTGGATGCGTTTGTGCGTCTCGAATTGGGACTCGTAGCCAAAAAATTTTCCACACGCATCGCAGAGATACGAATTCCTGGAGGAATTCTCATTTGTTCCGCTCTGCTGACTGGAATCCTGTTGGAGATCTTGGGACATGTTCGTCGGCGAAACTCCGCGGGGACGTGGCAGCAGCTCCGTTGTCGTTTGTCGTTGTGAATCACAATTTTTTTCAGAAAAATTGCTTTGCCTGTTGACAAAA